GAGGGGGAGTGAGGATGGGAAGGGATGTGGAGGTGGAGATACCCGATTTTATCATTTTATTGTTATATCTGTCGTTTAAATTTGTTGGTTTGGTATCTTCTCAGTCACGTATCGATATTCTACTCCTGTGAAGCAAAAAAATATGGAAATCAAATCCACAAACCCTCCTTCCATCTACCCTATTCAACTACTCCACCATTCAACAATAGAACAGAAAAAAAAAAAACTCTCCCACATATGTACAGCGCTCCCATTCCATCCATCCCCCTCTCTCGCCAAGCAAAAACATGCAAAAAAAAAAATGACAAAAAAATGTGGAGAAGCAGGTGATCGAAACCTGGGCCTCCCGCAATCTCATCGTTGACTCGCAATTCGGAAGAACTGGAGAAGATGCAAAGCGGGCGCTCTACCACTGAGCCACATCCCCGATTTTGTGCTTGGTAAGCTTTGATGGAAGACCTTTCACAATGACGTTTTATGAAGTATGATAATTTCGAGAGACCGGGGAGATAGTGGAACGACGAGATGGCATGTGTGTGGGGTTTCAAATTGGGGCAGCTACCAATGTTTGATCTGGAATGCCGAGTTTGCGCAAGCACGCGACGCAGCAGCGAATGATTGGCATGCGTGGTGGGGTTATGCTACGATGAGCATTGTGCTCGCATATCACGCGTGGGCAGTTAGGGAAACTTTCCAATAATTGATTTTTCGCGCGCATTAAACAGAAACTCGATATTGATGGAAGTGAAGATGTGTGCGTGGTGTGGTGTATGTAGTGTTGAGCATGTGTCTTTTGCATGCGCTTGTTTGGTGTTTGGGGGTTTAGATGGCATTATCTGCGCTGAAGGCATTGTTTTGGATGGAATTTGATTGCTGTTTCTGGGTTTTATTCGGTTTAGAATTTACGAGGTGGTGGTAGTAGTTGAAAATGGCTCCCCGGGGTGTGTAGGATGTATTGATGCTGTGTCTTGATGTTCGGCTGGCTGGCTGGCATGTCTTGGGTTGTTGCACGATAATCAAGAGAGCCACAAACCAAGAAAAAATTACAGCGCACGCAATAACACTTGGACAAGTTGAGACTTATGAGGTATGGGTCACGAGAGCTCTAGTTCACTGACAGGGGTGGAAAGAAAATATCCGGCGCAAGCACTTGTGCTGAAGGTGTCCAGGATTTACGGAGGAAGCTGTACCTGGGGTGGCGTGGCTGTCTGAAACATTCGAACAACTGTGGACAATGATTGAGCATGGGATGCGTAGAAGTTCATGGTTCACGGGGCAAGGATAATCGAGAACATCAACTTGAATAGCTAGCATACGCTGAATAGTCGACCACGTCACAGCTAACACTTATCGATCCTTGGTCTTCTCCAGAATCGTCTTGATCATCTCATTACCCATCTTTGTAGCCTCCGGGAACCTGGGCTCAAAGTACTTCTGAATGCCCTCAAACTTCTCTCTGTACGACTCAAAGTGTCCCAAGCTGACTCTCTGGCTCCAGTCGCGCGCGGCGAAGGTGAACTCCAGGTCGTCGGCACGGAACGTGTTGTCGTTGATGGCGGTGTCGATGGCTTCTTCGAGGAGTGCGGGGTTGCGGAAGAGGTATTCTGTTATGCCGAGCCACATGCGGAAGAGCTGTTCGCAATGCGTTAGTAACACTTCAAGGGGGGCGTGGAGTGGAGTGGGGTGCTTACAGGTGTAGAGCAGATCATGTGGTCGTAGGGCACGATTCCTAGTTTGCACCAGCAGTCGACGATGGCGAGAAGACTGAGGTGGTTGTTCTTTAGCTTCTTCTCTGGCATTTCACCCAGACTGAAGCGGTCGAGTAGGTCGTCTCGTAACAGCAGTTCCTGGTCCTCCTTCTTGTCGTACACACCGCCGAAGACAGCTTTCTGTGCAGCGTAGACACGCCTACTCAACGCATCTCTGTCGCCCGCCAGCATGAGCTTGTACAACTCTGTGACAGACTCGGCGTATTGCTTGATCTGCTTCTGGGCGTCTGGGTTCAGAATCGCGAGACCGGCGTAGACGTGCCACTTGTTTGCGTAGATGCGCAGGGTGATGTTGATCTTGACGTTCTCGATGCCTCCAATATAGCGTGGTGTTTCCCAGGGGAATTGGTTGTTGGCAGACCATGCGGCGCCCATGCTCAAGAAGGCTGCATGAGTGACTGCCTGTGTGTCGGCGGTGATACGGTCATGTTGTTCGCGTGTTAGGTAGACATGTTTAGACTGAAGGCAGGAGAGAACGTTCTCGACAAAGGTAAAGTCGGCATCAGAAGCGCGGTGCTTGATCAGGACGAGGGGCTGGCCTTTGGGGTCGACGCCGGGCCCGTGGAGGGAGTGGCAGGATACGATGCTGACGTCGGCGGGGAGATGCTTCTCGAAAGCTGCAATCTCTGGGGCTTTGCAGGAGGTTTGACCGCCAACAACGGCGCCGACCTTGGTAGCTGGTCATGTTAGTTGTGCACATGGTAAGAAACACACAGCATACATGGCCCAAATGCTTTCACAACTGCGTCAATGTTCTTTGCCTCCACGCTGTAAATGATATAGTCGCTGCACCGGGAGACGAAGTGGCCGCTTTGCATAATCTCAACTTTGGGCTGGAGCGTCTCAGCATGCTTCTATTGATGGTGTACATAGCTATCCTACACAGTCGCTGAACTCTTCCACCAAAGTCTCATACTTGTCCGGAGTATCGCAGGCGTTAACCCTTTGCGTTGCGTCAGTCGTAACCATCTGTGGGCACTGGTTAGCAAGGTTCAAGCACACAACATGTTTGAACAGTGCGAAGAAGTTGTTGGGATCAGAGTTGTATAAGTTAAGGTAGCGAGAATTCACATCATTGGCAGCAACACGCCTAATTACTGCCAACCAAGACGGTGACAGTGTAGGCGTGCGCCACACTCGAGCCAAATGCACTCACAGTCATCAGGAAAGGGGAGGAGAGTGTTGTAGGGGAAAAACTTACCAAGACAAAAGCCTCGAGACCCGTGCATGGCACTCACTTCCATCCAGCTGCGCTCAGCCTGCGCGCGTACATCTTCCCCATGTCGCCCATGCCGATGATACCAACGCTCTTGCCATCATACATATTGATTGCGGGTGCACACTACAGTGCGTGTGTTGAGCGCGGTGTTCAGCCCATGGTAGAGGGTTGGAGTGGTTGCGGCGCGCGAAGAGATCACTTTTCTATCGCGCTAGCTCGCGTGACTAAGCAACACTCGCTTAGCCGTGGGGCCCACCTGAATAATTGCAAAAGTTCGACGACGACCGCCGACTCCTCACGAACGTCAGTCAGTCAACTAATACACAGCCAACATGCCTCCCAAGAAGAAGGTCGAGCGCGGTGCGCAGGAGAACATCCAGGTACGCGCAACTGCACGCTGCATCTGCGATTGCGCGAATGGGCACATGTACTGACCTTGAGACAGCTTGGTCCCCAGGTCCGTGAGGGCGAGCTCGTCTTCGGCGTTGCCCGCATCTTCGCCTCGTTCAACGACACCTTCGTCCACATCACCGATCTGTCTGGCCGCGAAACCATCTCGCGTGTCACCGGTGGAATGAAGGTCAAGGCCGACCGTGACGAGTCCTCCCCCTACGCCGCCATGTTGGCTGCTCAGGACGTCGGTGCGTATTCAAAATCACTCGAACACGGAGAACATCGGGCTAATGATTTCTAGCCGCCCGCTGCAAGGAGCTCGGCATCTCTGCTCTCCACGTCAAGATCCGTGCCACCGGTGGTAACGGCACCAAGACCCCCGGCCCCGGTGCCCAGTCTGCCCTCCGCGCTCTTGCCCGCGCTGGCATGCGCATTGGACGTATCGAGGACGTTACCCCCACACCTTCCGACTCCACACGCAGGAAGGGTGGTCGCCGTGGTCGCCGTCTCTGAGCATATGCGCAAAGCATGTGTTTGGCTTGGTGGAACATGGCATGGCATGGTATATGCAATGGCAGCACGATTTATGGTTCATGCTTCATGACCTCAATCACAACAAAGTCGCGGGGAACGGCAAACGCCTGGTCTCCATGTTGAACTTGGCATATCCATAAACAGGTAGTCAGGGTAAAGCAACAGAATCCTTTCTTGTTCGAAAAGATTCCTGACAATGAAGTGCTGTTGTGTTTGATGCATTACGATTACTATTATCTTGCTGGGGCTGTGAACATGTAAGTCGTGCTACATCTCAACGACCTGGACCCGGTTGCCCAGCTTGCCCGTGTTCCCGTACGTCTGCGCCGCATTCACCAGAATGGTATGCGTACTCTCCCCACCCCACACTCTGTCCCACAACAGTTCCCTCAGCCCACGATAGAGCACCCTGACCACATTCCACCACAACCCCAGATTGAGCACACCCCTTGTGTACCTGGACTGCGTACCTAGCCCTTGTACATACGCATCATGCGCCTTGTCCCAATGCACTACCGTCCTTCCCGCTCCCCAGTGCACATGCCCAAACACATGTAGCGCCGGCTTAACTCTTGTGACCTCCTTAAGCAAATGCTCGCAGCCCAATCCCTGTGACATTGCAAGATCCAAAAAATATTTCGGTGGCGTGTGCGTAACCAAGATATCCACATCTTCAGGCACCGTCTCGCTCCACGCATCACTGCCTCGCGAGTACTGGAACGCATGCACACTCATTGGCCCACAGGCTGGTATCTGAGGTGCACCATAGATGCGTAGACGCCGCTGTCTCCCTCCCTCCCGCAGTAACGGCGTTCTCGAGTCGGTGGGCGGATCTTGCGGCGTAATCGTGAGCGTGAGCAGCTTGTGCTGTAGATAGTGCACACGGCCCCATTCTAAACTTCCCTGGCGCTGTGTCTCAGAGAGCGAGGGGCGCGTGCGTGGGTCTAGGTAGGTATCGTGGTTTCCGCTGATCACTATAATCTCCTTGTGTGGCAGGGAGGAAAGCCAGTCGATCTGTTTCTGGATCTCAGCGACGCTACCGTCATTCGTCATGTCTCCGGCGTGGATGAGGATGTCGCCTGGCGGTACATCGTCCAGGATATGGTTGTGCGTGTCTGATATGCAGACTACGCGGACTGGGGGTTGGGAGGGTGTGGGTGCAGACCGCAGGCGCGTGATTATGTGGTAGGCGTGATATAGGAGGAGCTTCACGGGAGCCCGAAAGAGCAGCGCGGGGAAGGGGGTCGGCTCGAATTCATCTTTGGGGCTGTGCCATGGATTGAGGATCTCGAGGACCATTACCAAGGGTGTTGGAAAGCTTGAAAGTCGTGGTGGAGGGGCAGTGACATCGTGGTGACATGAGATGATAGGGTCCAGATGCGATGGAGCTAGCATCTGACGAACTACAACTTTTACATTGTCACACGCATTAATGCTATCATGATAGTGAGCATGTGCCTAGTGAACGATACGTGCTTAAAGGTGCGAAATCATACTTTTGACTATCTGCTT